CTTTAATATTGTTATTTTTTATATTACGTAATTTGAATGGCAAACAAGGTGATGGTAAGTGGTAACTGTCGACTATAATGAATAGCACCATATTTCGGAGAACTAGGGTGTAAGTGTAAATATGCCGTAACCTTTCAACCAAAACACAACGTCCAAGCCAATATGCTTTGGTAGCTGAAATAGGTGATACAGACACTCACGTAGATGATTTTGTATAAAATCAACCTCACTTTTCGTAATTTTTTTTATAACTCTGACACAATTAACACAGCACCATCTAGTCCCACGGTAAGTATATGTTGTGTTATTGGTACTAGATAACTGATATAAATACTTAGTTTTTTTTATAAATACATACATAGATTACACCTATACCAATGCAAACAATCATACTCATGAATACAAATATATGCACCGTGCGAGGAATCGAACCCGCGACCGTCAGAAGTAAAGCGGTGTGCTAACTCGCTAGACCACCGAGGCCGTATCGAACTGATTGAACTCATAATTCGCACTCGCACTGAAAATTGCAGATAATACATAATAATGACCAACAGCCCGTTGCAGAAAGTTTTCCTGCGTTTTCCTTGAATACGAGTTAATGAGTAATTAACGCTAATGATTCATTAAAATAGACGTTGCAGTGAGATAGATTAAAAGTTACTATAATAATAGACTACGTAACATTGAATAATAATGAAAACAGTGAATGATGATTATGAGTGATGCTTCTGTCTAAAGTTTAGTTTTTATCTCTAACAGGAATCCAAAAGTTTGTGCCTACCAAAAATTTCATTGGTTTGTACAAAATATCTTACTAATATTATAAACGCTAAATTTTGTGAGTATAGAGATGGATAGATGCTTGTTATTCTTTTAGACAAAAACTACTTAACGGATTTTAATGAAAACTTACAGTATTATACATCAGAAAAATATATAAGCTGTTATTTAAAAAGATATTATGTAAATTGAGCGAAATATGATTCATGTCAAGTAAGTGTGATGCAGACGATGTTGCGGGAGTCAGCTAGTATATTATTACGTTTTTTTTTTTAATAATTTCATAATGTAAATACCTAGTAGGTTCATGATGTCATAAAAATAAACTGACTGAAATATGTTCATGTAATTAGGTTATTTTTTTATTCAAAGAATAAGAATCTTGTCTAAAACTAAGCATTGCTTCTATCATGGGTACCATAACAATAATTATGTAAACATCAGATAAAAAAATCCTTTCAGTTTTAACTTTTGCAGTAACTCTATGCAATTTTAAACATTTACGCTATACTATGTATGTACGTAAACTTAACCAGTGAAGTGTAGTGGCCTAACTGATTTAGATGAAAATATTATGAGTTCTGTCTGTCCGATACAAAAAAATATGTATTAATTTATACTTCTAATTGTCACTCCGGAGATGAAAACAACAATGAACTAACCATCAAAATAACCCGAGAGACTACACTATAGTGGGTTCACCCCCTGTTACGTTGTTTTCAAATGTACCGAGGAAAATGTGGGTATATCTAACTGGAATGCCAACCGTACGAGAATCCTCGAACAGGTGCGAGATTTTTTAAGAAAGAAGAATGTTATATTTCGTACAACATTGTACGAATTTTTAATTTAAAAAATCAGTCAAAATACAATGATGAACGAGGCTTGAGAAATAACTTGAGCCATTATATATTTTTTTCTATTTTATTTCTCGTACGAGACAATTTTTTTTAAACAATATATATTCACTACTACTACCGACTACTGACTACTACTACTGTCGACATTTGACAATTTCTCTGCTTATTCCATCTGAGCTACTAGTCGTAAGGTGTATTAGGTGTATTATTATTTAGGTATATTACTAAACTACGTATATTATTTACATTAACACTGATGATATCTGGTTTAATGTTAAAATGTTCTGGTTAAAATGCTAATTAAATAATAATTCATACGTAGGTAATAATCTCGTTGTATATGCAACTAAGTATTCAATAGGTACTTCCTTAGTAATCAGTGATTAGTGGCGAATAAACCATTTAAAAAGCCACAAACCATAGTTAATACCACCAAGGATAATAGAATGTGATACCTACCATGTTGGTGTATAATAGTCATTTCAGATAAAGTATAACAATGGTTTAAATGAAAAGAGAACATGCAACTTTATTCAAATATTATAAACGCATAAATATCTCTATACTTTTTACAAAATATGGTCTCGTTTAATATGGTGTTATACTTTAACATAAGCAAACAAATGTTAAAGTTTAACACCAATCTGAGTGAAGGACTGTATTTGTATTAATTTGGTAAATATAATTATGCAAAGACGGTTTTTCTTCTTTTATCTGCTTTACTTTTGTTAATGTTTTGTAAAAAAAAGAATGACAGTATACAATATATTTTTATGTAAAATAATAGGTAACAAAAAAACATAAATAATATATTTTTATATATTATTTATGTCTTTATGTGCATAGTGCACATCCAAATTGTGTGGAAAATATTTGGACAGTCACTCTCAATACAAATTAATGACGTACCGTTAAAAATAACCATGAAATTTCTCTAATCGGAAGATACCGGTTTATAGATTTAACAGTGAAACGAAACTAAACGATTTCTAACAATATTGAAAGCAATTTAAACGCAAGTTTTAATATGTCTTTCATTAATGTTGTGCACTTTTATAATCCTATTATATACATATATATATATTATGTATGTGTCTAGAGGGGCAACACAACTATTTTTAACAAACTGTAATATTTGTACGTGTATGTATATTTCCCAAGAGAGCTCGCAAACAAGTCAAAAGTGATATATAAAAAAGATATCAAAATAATACAATATTTATAAAAAAATTATGGACAAGGTGCCAGGAACAATATAGAAATTTGAAAATATTTCATTCTGATATTTCTTGTTTATTATGTTTATTATTAAGGATAGTTTTTGTAATAAATCACGTAAGAAACGCTGAGATGTATTTAGAAAAAACAGAGTTCTCAAGGTTTGAAGAATTATTAGGAAAACTAATATAGATTATTATATATATATATATTTTTTTTGCTTCTGTAAATCGAATGCAGCAAAAAAACTAACTAGGCATTAGTTATTTTTAAGCAATTTAAGGAGCGCCACTGGAGTATGATATATCCTATCAGTCAGAAATAAAGAAAGGTCAGTCAGCTGACCGTGACAAATTAACGACTCGAAAGTAATTGAAAATTCGAACAATTTTGAAATGATATAAACAGAGGATTATAGCACTACAAACTTGTTCATAATTTGTTTTTTTAAGTAAAATATACATTTAATTTATTAGTAAAATGTATGAAATATAATTAATTTCTTTCCCAAATTCTGACATTTCGGTCATTGTGCATGCAGTACCTACATAACTATAATCTATCCTTTAGTGATGGATTGGTACATTCCCCTGCGCGGCCAGCGGCATTTATATAGTTTTTACTTCACCAGCAAAGCATCTCCTAGAAGCGAAGTAGATTCCCGATATCTTTGTAGACTTCTCTGAGCGACCTCACTATTCCGAGTTTTATTAAATAATGTCTACCTAATTTTATATATTTTTAAATATCATAATACGCTTATTACATAAGTAAGACATTTGTATCTTCTATTTATCATCTAGTTTAACTTGAATACAATTACTCAGTACATTCACCTTTCAACTACTGTTATAATAACATCTATTATTAGAGTAAGTGTGTATCTAAATAAAAACCATTGCATAATGGATATTATACCACTATACCAAGTGCCTACATCTACCGCCTTTGGGATCATTCGCTTATTAACAGTAACCGCATCAGCGGCAGCGGTGTGGCAGCGTGAGTGACGTCACGCTGCGCGCGCGCATAAAAACTTTCGCTTTTCACTGCCAAGGCTCAGCTTACATGTGTTGGTGTTGCAGTTATATTTCCAGTTCATTGATCGAATTGTATATATTATATGACCTTCTCATGTGTGTTTGTACAATGATTATATATATAAGTATTATAGAAAAGATTTTCTACATATTGGAAAGGCAAAGAATTTGGAATAATTTTGTCATCATCAATCATTTGATTGTTAATTCTGTATATATTATTTGTATATTGTTGATTTAAGAATATTAAGACTGGAATTAGACAGTCATTTGAATAAATATAAAGTTTTTTTTAAATAACTTTGTGTTAATATGTACAGGATAATTAATACGATATTGCTAACAATTATGATAAATTTATGCTGATTCATATAAGACACGAGTGAGCATTGATATACAATACACGCATGCGAGCATTTATGTATAATGTCAATGTATAATACATGCAATGACTACATTATGCTATTCTGCATACATGCTGTCAATTAAAAGTATTTATGTCTAAGGTAATAACTGACCCATTAAATTTTTTTTTAATTGATGATGCGCTCTTATTTGTCCTTGCGTGGTGTTAAGGCTATATGCCTTGAGCCTAAAGATTTTTACTATTCGAATCTCTGTTGGACTTTGCGTGGTATATTTTAAATTTCTTTAATTCGTAAAAGTAATAGTAGTCGAGTAGCGTATTCAACTAATGAAACAAAGCGTTGTATATAATAAACATTAGTGTAGATTAAATGTACTACGTATTTATTAAATGTATCTACAATTTCGTATAAAAATTGTTAATATGTCATCACAGTGTAACATCACCAGTTGGGATGACCACAGGCTTTAGAAATTAAAATTAAAGCTGATGATTCTTTATGATGTCATTTTACTTTTTAAAAGGCTGGCAACGCACTTGCAATTCGACTGGTGTTGCAGGTGCTCATGGACGGTGGTAATGACTTACTTACCAGGTGTGCCGCAGGCTTGTTTATCCCCTGTGCTATAAAAAAAGGTTTCAGAAATTGTCGAATTTGTAGTGAATTTATATGTGTTTTAAAATTAATTGCCATTTTATCATAATATTTTTAATATTTTATTATCTCAACAGGTCTGGGCATTTGTCTTCTGTCTGTCCACATCCATTGCAGTGCCGGTGCCGCAAGCCACGCCCCTTGTTCTGGACATTATAGACATGGCAGCCATTAGCAGAATGTCACCACAGCAACTAGAGAAGTTAGCAGAAGGATTGGCAGCTGAGGAAATAATGAGGTGAGAGCAATTAAAACTGTCCTTTGTTTATTTTTTATATTTACGTTTCTATAGTTTTAATCACAATTATTGTTAATGAAAGGTAGAGTACAAACTGCATGTTTGAGTAGTAGACTGATGATCAGAAAATATTGCATGGAACAGTGATACCGGATAAAACGTCATCATAATCCAATAAAAAGTCTGTTCAGTACAGGACTCCTCTAGAGATTAAGAAGACAAACAAATAAAACGATATATAATTTGTATATCTGTTTGCTTCCCTTGATAATTTTGTGAAATTTGTGTTACCATAATGCCAGTCTTAAATTATGTTAAAAAATAAATTTTATTCTCTCATAACAAAGTCTACTAACTCTATTTATAATACTACTACAATAATAAGTATATATAGACATAGTTACGCGGAACAACAAGAATAACATAAAACAATAATTATAAATACAAATAGAACAACTTAAAAAGGACACGGGCCTTCTGTCTGTGGTTGTAAATCAGAAAATAAAAAAGTATAGATAGATAAGATAATCAAATTATATCTGAAACAGAACGAAGAGATCATCTGCCCAAGCGCTAACAGCGGTAGTGTCCAAAGCTTCATCAGGTCTGCAAGGCAAGATTGGGCTACTGGGACAAGCTTCCGCTGGTGTTGCAACCCTGATCGGATCAGCTTCTAGTAAAACAGGTCATGACACTCATGACCACGGATACTCATATGAACCGGTAAGTTATTATTCAAATAAAAATATCTGCAGTATCCATTTCAATTCTATTCCTATTTGTAGTGAGCCTTTGAAATGTAATATAGAGTAAAATAAAGAACAATATTGCATTTCTTGCATTTACTTTCTGTACCCAAAGGTAGTTAGAAACAAATTCCTTAGCGATGAGACTGCCTAAATCATTTAAAAGAAGTTGGCACAAAATATAAAACTAATACATTATAGTACATTATATTATTATAGTTAATACATTCATATAAATGTATGTAAGGAAATAATATGTTTATACAATTAAAAGTTACAAAACGACGCAATCCAGTGTCATTGAATCGAAATTATAATGATAATAGTGACTAATAATGACAAATGTGACAATAACATTCTTTTATGACATATTTTTTTATGAGAACTACAAAAATGCAAAAAAAAAAATAGCAGTATGAGTATAGTAATAGCATATAATTTCTGGATAATTTCTTGTATTTTTTACGCGGAAAATGCATAACGAGTTAAGCACCTTTTCACCTGCGTAATACGTATGTGCTGAACACTTCATATACTGCATATTTTTAAACTGTTGTGTAATGTCTGAAAGACTTGTGCAACCGTCTAACGCTTATAGGATCTAGCCCAGTAGCTAAATATGACTGTTAGAAAAGATGTACAATACTAGTGGCTTGACTACTGGTACTCATGCTCATAATTTTGTGACTCTTGTTTATAGAGAGTATTAACATAATGTATAAATACTCTAGAATAACTTAACTTTCTATATTATAATAGTATAGATTAGATTAGATTGACCACGATGAAACCAAATGACGACAGAGCTCATTGTTTACTATATATCACAGCTACATATTTATATTATTATTATGTATGCATTTAGAATACAAAAAATATTTATGTATTTATATCAGTTGTCTAGTAGTACGAGTATAACACAAGCTCTGCATAGCTTGGGACTATATATTCAGTGGTGAAGTTGCGAACATAACAAAGAAATAAACTCACTTTCCCATTTTAAAATTTACATATATAGATTAAATAAATAAATTATAATATTTCACACGAATTATGTATCTTATGTAAAATCATATATACACAAGTTATAAAATGAAACAAAATATACATATTTATTATGGCCAAGCGACCATTCCAGTTAGAAAAGAATATATTTGAGTCCTCAACCCCCCACCGATTGATCCCCCATCGAATTCCAACCGAAGATCGAAATTATGACAGGCTGAGTCGAGGTTCGAACCTCTCGGTGCTCTCAGATTAAAGCCTTATCCGTCAGGAAAGAGTCGGCCTTCAGCCGCTCCATAATTTCTTCCGCGGGTTTGAAGTGCCATCTGTACTCATCCCCTATCATTGAAGATGTAAAGGCCAAATGCTGGCAGCATTTGAATAGTTCGAAACAAATATCGTCAATTGAAACAAGCAGTTTAGCGACTGAAATACGTAGATGAAACAGAGCTTATGTATCTGACTTTGTAGAAGATGTACCCATATATGTATGTTGCATGAAATGAATTGAAATAATTTTCTCCACAGCATGAAGAAAAATATGATTACTGGGGATTGAAGAAGTCAATTCTTTACACGCTGTTTCAAGCAGTAAAGGCTATCACTGGTGGTGTAACCATCTTGAAAGGCCAACTCATAAAGGGTGGCGGAGCGCTAGCCAGCACCTTGGGGAAGGTGATATCGGTGAAGGGTGATGCCGTCAGTCATCTAGGGAAGAAAATTGTCAGCTCAGCCGCGTTGGTTGAAAAGAAACCTTGTAAGTTGATAGCATTTTTATATTTTTGGGATTTAGTCGTCATGGTGTATAATCATAATTTATAAGGGGTTATTAATAAATAATGTCACACATTAAGGGGCTGATGGGTCACGTTGGTAAAATTCATAAAATCTTATATTAAAATTTTAATATTAAATACAAAATTTCTAAGTATTAAAATGTGACTATTACTGCTGGGGGAGGAGGTTAAAATTATTAGTTTTGTGTGATTTAGTTTATGGATAAATTATATAGTTGAAGCTTTAGTATTTAAGAAATCTTTCATATGGGGTGGGCAGAGGAAGCTACCCATCATTTGTAAATGTGGTCTAAACATTCTAATGGTTTGTAGAATATTATTACCAATATCAGGTTAGTAGAAAATGCTTCTAGAGTTATAGATCTACATTTTGTTATTGTCTATTTGGCACACCATTTCTATATTTTCATTTCTCCACCAATCCACATTTATCTAATTATGATACCACTTCTTCATTGTATATATCATAGTTAGTTAGTGTCATTATACAGTTTCGCATGAAAGTTCTATTTTTGCATGCTTTGATTTGACAATAAAAAACCAAAATTATTACACTGAAACTTTAGTATATGACAGTAAAAAATATCATATATACACACAGCCTTAAAGTCGGTATCTATATTATCGCTCATTGTGCAAATAAATTGTAAACATTATTATTAGACGATCTAGATTTAATGCTTCGAAAACACCACTTATAGTAAGGTAGTGTGTAGACGCCTTAACGGTAACTATTATAATTCAGCAGGGCATTTATACGGCCCACCGCCAGCGCCGCCGGCGCATGTTGAATATGGTGTTCCCACGGGATACGGCGCACCGACTGCGCCCGCTCACTTCGCACATACAGGTCCATCTGCACCCACAGGTTTCGCTGCACACAAATACCCATCTCATTTAGACGGTGAGTAACATACTACTAAATAAATACAAATCATTTATTACATTTACAATTTGCAACAAATCATTTGGTATCAGGAATGACATTGGTACAATTTTATACGGATATACCTTCTGATTTCGTCATTATGATAATCACTCATCATAGCCATGCATTAGGATAATTCTATATAGTTACTTAAATATTACTGAAAATATTTCTATCAGTTATTTTTAGAAAATATCTATGTGATTAATCATAAAGAAAATCTTTTCAAGAAATAAAAAATAATTTTCCAATCGACTGATAATCGGCTGTCGTCAATCTCAGGAGACAAAAAATACAATGGTATTGAGATTTTAATTATTTTTAGACATTAAAATCATATTATGATTTGAAATTGAAGAGTGCTTTTGCATAAGCGACTTAGTTCTGATGACTATTTTTTATCGAAAACATCTGTGTATCCAAGTAAATGGGCCAAAGTTGTGTCATTAATGGGATACAACACATAGGCGTGAATATATGATTATTATATATGTATAGTTTCTGATTTTTTAAATATTAACATATATACCTAACCATATATTTATTGTACATGTAATTCATATTAATTATCTGTGCCATAAATTTATATACTATTTTTTATGACAACTCATAAAATTCCTGAGCCAGTGGGAATTGATATTTCATAAAAAAATCCATCATTGTCAAAATATTCTATTCACCGAGACTGGTTAGAAATTGTCGCGTATACGTTCCAATGATTATGCACTTGTATTGTTGTAAACCAATTTGCTGACAGAGTTCCGTAACTAGGTACTATATTGTAAATTACTTTATTATAAAAAAATGTTTATAACAAAATAATGCTATATCCAATGGTATCATAATATACTAATCAATTGAATCACTTTATATAACTTGGTTATATAATAAATTCTACTAATATTGAAACGCGAAAGCTTGTTAGGATGGATATTTGTTATTATCATGCGAAATCTACTGCACAGATTTCCAATTTTTAGTATACATAGATTATATTTTAGTGTAATCATAGATTATCTACTATTTACCCGGATTCACACACCGTGGAGCACAAATAATAATATTCGTTCATTTTTCTATTCTACTATATTGTATCTTAATAACCATTTCTTAGGGTTAAGTTAATATAACAATACTCATAATAACCCAGAACAATAAACAGAACGCCATCTAGTCCCAAGCTAAACAAAGCTTGTGTTATACACTAGAAAACTGATAGAAATATTTGAATATATCTTTTCGTAAATACATACTATATACATATATACTTTGAGAGAGACTAGATCAATACAAACAAACATGTCTTGAATACTACTAAAGCTTGTATCGTGCGACGAATTAAACGCGCCACCATCGGAAATCGCACTTCAAGAATCTGTGTTGTGATGGCCTAGGTGGTCCTAGGCCAAACTATTCATCAGACCGCTCTACTTCCGATGCTCGCGGGTCCCATTCTGCGCGATACTAATTTTGTGATAAATCTAGATGTTTTTATATATATCATGTATGTATTTTTAAATAGAGTATTGCTTAATACCACCCACAGTACAAGCTCTGCTTAGTTTGGGACTATATGACGTCGTGTGAATTGTCATGGATTATTATTATAATAGTCATAACATTTATTTCCTAAACAATTAAATTGTAAATACAAATGTTATGATTAATTATGACGTATTCTTTGCAATTAAGTATTACGAAATTGGAGAAATATTACACAATTGTATCAAATAACAATGGGGTCAATAAATTCTTCTTCTTCGTCATGATGACGTATTATATTGTATTATAATTCTGATTCATAAAAAAAACTATACAATTTCACAACCCTCATACAATCGTAGGATGATGAATAAAGACAGTTATTTAAATTGTCTTATTAAATATTTTCAATATTTTGCCTATTTTGTTGATTCTATTTGATTTATATTACTTTTCACATAATGAAAGTTGATATTCTTTATGAAATCAAATCTTAAGTGATTTTAAATATATACTTTTTCAAATTTCTTCAGAATAGAATCCATATTTTTTGTCAATGTACTATTATTAGACTCGTTTCCTTTTCTTTTTTTGTTCTTCTTCTATTCGATTGTTTAAACGCCTTGAAACATTTCTAAGCGTTTAAACATCTAGAAATATTTCACCTACTTTATAGTGGTCTGTTGAAACAAGGAATAACAATAATCCAAATAATAAAGTAATGATAATAAATTTTTAGAAAATTCCTAATGTAAAGGTAAAAAACAATAGAGTATCATAATAACATATTTTCATGACTAGAATGATACAATTACATAAATTATGTTACATAAAGTGATTGGATATAATAATAGACTATTGCACTGCATGCTTGATTTCGCTCAAGAAGGTGGTTAATATTCTGTTAGAAATTTTGTTATTCGTAGACTATTTAGAAGAGTACAACGTATAATTATATTAACCTACCTACTACAGAGGGAGAGAATCGTTAGTAAATTCATGTGTCTAATACCATCCATCATGAGATCAATCTTCAATATTTCTCCTTAGTCACTTTACGTCTTTGGGTAATTTAAGTACTTAGACTTAGACTTAACTTCCACCTAGTCCTATTGTCTTTCCGTCTGAATATTATCATTGGCCTGCAATAATTTACGGTTATTAGCTTACAAGATCTAACTTTGGATTACATTACTGAAATCTTAACAGATATCCCTATTTTTTTCTTTTAATAAAGGGTGTAACAATTTCCGATATCATTTCAGTAATTTTGTAATTATTTTTTTACAAAAATAGTTTTATATGTAACTCTTAAAAGTTATAAAAATGAGTTGTAATATATTATAATCTTACTATAATACATTGAGATGTCAACCGGTCCGTAGTTTGCAATAGTTGAATATGTGAGTTTTTATGTAAGTAGCGGTAAATGTAAACGAACAAAGTAGCACGGGCTGTGACGCAACGCGAGGTTAAAGTTCCCAAAACATTCGGATGCTCGCCGGAACCAAAGAGCTAACGTAACACTTCCACACGTCTTCGAGCTTACACAATCTGTAAAAGGAACTACACCAATCCGTGAACTGGTTCATTACATTATTATTTATATGTTTTTTTAAGATGACACAGATCGTGATACGATTGCGTTAACATAATGTATTTCCTGTTGACCAATGAAGGTGCTACTACTCATCGGAACCTGTTGAGCGTATTGTTCTTTTAGTGATAGGAGAACTTCAATAAATCTTTACTCCCATATACTTTATCACAGGTCATATTTTAATATACATAATTCTAGAATTAAAATGTTATATCGCAAAATCTAAACCCCTTCTGTTCTAGATTTTGTTATTTTAAAAATGAACTTTGTAAATCTTGCAAAGCTTTGTCATGTTTGTATGTGATTTTATTTATGGCCCCTAGTTGCAAATGCATCTAACGATCAACTTTATCTTTCACTTAAGTACGTGTTGCGGATTTCCATTTCATTATATAGTGGATTTGTATTATTTTGTCTACCATTACAAACGTGAGACCACAAATATTCAGAGCGGAAACCTGACAACTGCTACTGGAAGCGTTATGACCTTCCTATCTACACCCATATTGCGACACGTTTTGCCTCAAACAAAACATCATCATTCAATTAATAGAGTTGGAATATAGTTTGAAAGCCTAGTGTTGACTGTTATGTTTATTATAGTCTGGTCGCCGAATAGCAGTATCCAAAATATATATAAATAGTCATCAGTAAGCTTTCCACCATCTTTGAACCATCGACCATCGGAAGTAAGGCATTATGCTAAACTACGAGGCCACCGAAATTGTTCAAGACCGTTCAGTGCTTAGGACGTAACGATAAGGGATATAGACTTTTTTCTTCATATCAATTAAACAAGGCCACGACTTGAAGTATCTGTGAGTAGGAGACTAGCATAATAATATCTTTAAACATCTTGGTACATTAGTACAATTTTATTGGATGTTACTTCACACAATTTACAAGTACTTGAGTCATTCTCAACATTTCGTGCTTACACGTAATTTGTCAATAGTCATTAATAAGTTACGACGTCTTTGTTCATTTTAATATTTTATTTGGTATTTCTTATTACTAAGCTATTATCTTTAAAACTACTATGACTATATTTTGTGATTGCCATGGCGCTTAATCTATCCATATATATGCAACGGTAAATATTTATATAAATATATATATTTGTATAACCATTAAATATATTGGTTCTAATTATACTGCCAGCAGCTTACTTTGTAAGCTATATACACGCAACGATTACTATTTGCCATTAAATATTTGACCTAAGACGCATACTGCCAGTAGCTTACTTTCTACTATTTATCTGATTAATATAAATAGCAATGGAAGTATGAAACTTAGTCTCAGTAACAAGACCACCATCAGACACTTGACTTGGACCTCAACTCAAAGTCCCTAATGAGCCAAAACACCGATATGGCATGTAGAGCCTGGTATTACGACGCACTTCTAAATGCATTACAATAATCCAGCATATTAGCAAGTAGAATGCAAGTGGGGCAGAATAGAGCGCCTCAGTCCTAAACACCGCTATTCCGAGTAGCAACAAACCCCCAAGTTCTCAAGAATAGCAATACATGGGATATACCACGGACGTTATAATGTAGGGACCTAATGTGGCCTTAGCCTATTTGTCATTACTATTAGATAAAAATAAATAGGATGTAATTTGGCATCTTATGAATCAGGCTCCTAATATATTTCCCCCTATTTTTTGGTTAGAGTCAATGTTGCAGAGTTTTGACTAGGTTCCATTCGACACCGATCAATTAGTCTGACTAACCTAACTAACTTCCATAGAACAGGATTGCAACAAATTGGCCCGACAGATCAAAGCCAAATTGTACTTACTGTGTTCTTTAAATTTCGTTTGGCATTAACGTAATATTTAGAATCTTTTTATCATTCCACTTAGCGTTATATCATTACATTCATC